ATGTGACACAGCTGTACTGCAACGTACACATGCGTGCACACAAAGACACTGTGACACACAAAGACTCTGTGTCACCCTCCACCTTGTAGATTTATATGGTATGAACATAATGACTTTGCTCCCAATTTATCCCAGTATGCCTGTGAAAGATCCAGATAATCTTTTAATGGCCCGAGTTGTCGACTGTCTCATCGCGCAGCTCATAAATCTGGTGGAGAAAGCGCCCCTCCTCAGCTCTGGGTCCCCTCGACTAGATTGTGTTGGAAACTGGATCCCTTCGAAGTGAAATTCAAGACACCTATCAGTGAATAAAAGGAAATATTTGCTCTGTCCGAGACACTCAGTGATTTTTGAAAGTCCCAGCGGCGGACAAGTGAGAGAAAACAGTTGCTAAAGAGATACTGAAAGTGTAGAAGGCAGATATGTGAGATAAAAAAAGAAAAGAAAAGACAACATCTTGTTGGAAAAATATATTTTTAGCTGCAACTCCATGTCCAGCCTCTTCCTCTGTTCTTTTAAGTGTGATTGGAACTGATTCCACTTATGCTCCACATTTTCTTTACTTTATTTATATAGACCAAAACCCCAAATCTGTAAAACATGCAACACCTTCTATCCTTTGACGGTCAACTTCAATACGTAAAAACTTTTCAAAAAAGGGAAAAGAGAGAGACCATAAGCGCCACAGACTGGTCTCATGATGGACAGACATGAGTTGTATATACAGAGTAAACAGAAGTAGATTTAGTAGAATTATATTATGCAGAAACATTAAGTAAATAAATTACATGACATGAAATATTAAAGTGAGCCTCCCGTTTGTTTAATTTGTACAAAATTCACAGTGTCAAACTATTCCTTTAAACTTAGTGTATCAGTAGCACAAGTGGAGCCGTCTTTAAGTTAGCTAACTGACTCAGTTGTGCATACAGTTAGCTAGCATTAGCTACTACAAGCTACTTGTCGTTCCAGATCCAGTTTCCAAAAGACCCCTGTGCGTATTGAATTGAATAAGGGTGTTTTTTTTACATTCTCACAGCTTTTGAATTAAACGTTTCATTTGTACAACAATACATGCTTGAGAGAAGAGCCACTACAGTTGCATAGTCTCATAATTCTCTGGTTCTGGTGCACATCCCCTGACATGACCCAACCTTTGACAGTAGAGGCACAGAGAAGTGGCCTAGAATTATGGGGTCTCATAAATAAACAAATAAACACATTTCATTCACAGAGTACTTATTCTAATTACAGCCCTGGACATGTGCTGAGCAGTCTCTAATTTCTCTCCGAGCAGAGAGACTTGCGGAGCCGTCTGCGGCAGACCTGCAGTCGGCAGATGTAATTTCCACATCATCTCTGGTCCCTGGTACAGCGAGAGGGAGGGAGGGAGGGAGAGAGGGACAGGGAGAGAGAGATTGATCCTAGTAAACAATAATTAGGGTTGGGGATGGTGTATTGTGGGACATCTACTCGGTGGGACAGAGTGAAGAGAAGGGAGAGAGAAGACAGGCAGAGATCATGCAGATGAAAACCTCTGGGATGGACAAAAGGGGAGGGGGGGGGGCGGGGGGGTCAAAATTTTCATCAGGACCCGCACACCCAGTGTGCCATGTAGGACTGCAAGTAACGCATCTCTACATCTTTTGTTTATTATTAATAAACTAATTATTTTGTCTATATATCTTTAAACTGCTTCCCTTGTCCAATCCCAATTGTATTACCTTAACAATAATGTAATGTAGTGAGCAGAAAATAGTCACGTTTGACAAACTGGAAAAGTGTCTCTGGTGCTTTTGCCTGGTAAACAACTTAACATAAAATCACTGGGGATTACTTTTCTGCTAATTCTGCCCTAGCTCCATGATCATTAAACTGAGTTTCTTAAAAACAGATGTGAACAGACGTCACTAAAAAGCATCAAAATGAATTTGTACCTAGTATGAAATGTTTTATAAAACAGAGTGTTCTTAGTAATACAATGCTCCAATCAGTTTAAATAATGCTGTAATATATTAAAGGTGCCATGTGGAGTTTTCTTATGGAGAAACAAAGTTTAACTGTTGATGTTCAGTGTTTCCCACCAAAAAGCCTTGTGTGTATGGAGGTCCAACAAACATATTGAACATATTGAATGCATTTTCTGTATTGTTAAAACACTAATATTTTTGAAAAATCTGAAAACAGACTTCTTTACATCCGTGCTTGCAATATTGTAGTGTTCTTCTCCCTTGCATTTTTTCCTGGCCCAGTGCTACATTTGGGGCACATCACCCACAGTGTGTAGCAGTAGTGGAGTAGTGTGAAGCCATGGGCAGGAATGCATATCGAGTGGTTTGGTTTCCTAAATGGTGAGCAAGGGATAAAAAAACAAAAACAGGATCCCACTCACCAAAACATTGTTTTATAGCACTACTCTCATTCTTTCATTTCATCTGACTCAAACATCTGAGTCATGCAACAGTACATACACAAAACAACAGAATCGCTCGGAGCTGTTGTTGTTTTCTCGTGTGCAAAAACAGCTTTTCAAACTTTGAAGTGCTGAGATTAATAACTTTGGTTCCATAATTCCTAATTTGACAAGGTGGATGATAGTAGAACTGCCCTAGACCTCAGATCCTCATGGGCCCCAAAGGACCCTGGTTTAGTGCGTGGCAACTGTTTGTAGTAATTTGATCATAATTTGATTTGTAGTGATTATCTGGTAAAATGTACTGAAGCACAATATAAACTGAAATCATAAGAGGCTTATTAAGTATTTGCAATTTGCATACACTACAGTCTTCACATAAATGTAGTGGTGTAAAAAGTAAAACAGTTTCCATAAAAACTGAAAAATCGAAGTATTTGCACATTATTCACAAGCATACAGTTTATCTTCAAGCCATTCTCTGCTTTTAGGGAGAGGGGAAATACCACATTCAATCAGAGGCCTCACACAGAGCAACCGATGCTGGGAATAAGGAGTCACCATCTCGTGGGGTGAAGAGGAATAAGACTTTACGGGAAGGAATATCTCCCCAGTGAGAGGACTGGATGAAGAACATTATGTGTGTGCGTGTGTGTGGGTGGATGGGTGTGTGTGTGTGTGGGTGCACATGAGGCATGTGTGCTGAAACTCAGACTTTACAAATACACATGCGGGAAAAGCATTTCGGTGATTCTTGCATTCCCGACATTCCTTCCTGTGAATTTCCAGTCAGTCAGTGAGGCTCACTGTTCCAGAGCTCTGACATCACGAGGGGGTTCCACTCTGCCTTCCACATTCTGCCTCCCGCTCTCTCTCACAATCCCACCCATATTTGGAAGTGAGAGGAAGGGAATCCCAGATGATGACTCAAAGGCTTCTGCTGCCAAGGGGAATTCTCTCCACATCTGTTTTTGTGTGTGTGTGCATGTCTAGTATTAATGTGTGCATTACCTCCTTGAGCTGAAGATCTGCGGGGAATTCAAAATGTGGCTTTAACAGCTGCAGAAACAACAGCCTATGTCTGTAACTATACAGAAAAGTGGCACCCTAAGTGATGTTCTCTTTCTATTTATAACCTGCGTTTCTCTTGGCAGCCATGGCAGTTAAAACATGTGAATGTGTTTGCTCTTGAAATCAGCTCTTTTTGCCCCATAAATCCTGAAGATGAATCCTGAAGAGTGGGTAAAAAAAAAATACTCCTTTGGTAGCGCACAGCACATGGTGGTGCCATGACAGCTCGAGGCTGAGTCGATATGTAAGCTGTAACCAGTCACCCCGCTTTGGACCACTTCAAATGAGGCCACAGAGATAGATAGGACCATGGGGCTGTTCAATGTGCTCAGCAGAGTGTAACCAACCGTCTACCGCCTGCTGGAGACTCCTACCTCCACAGAGAAGTTTATTGAAATCATCTTATTTCTAATGAAAAATAGCAAGCTCATATGTGAATCACATGGGGAAGAAGGAAGCAGAGCTTGAGGGGGAGATGGCAGAACAGACATGGCTTCTTTTTCTTGGATGTATGATGTATGAGGATTTGGGTTTGGGAGAGGATGGAGAGGTCTCTCACTCTGCGTCTATGAAGCCACATCGGGGCCTAAATTTAGACCCGCTTTGTTCTCGTCTGCATGATGGTGACAGAGGACTCGGCTCTCTGGGGCTGTCTGTGGTCCGGCGTATCAGAAAGGCCGCTGTTGTTCTCCCTGGCAGTCAGAAACACAGGCGTTCCCTCAAGCAGCCCAAAAAGAAAGAAAGCTTTCATGGAATATTCTGTTTAGACACAGAGAGTTGTGTATGATACCCCCGGGACCCATAAAACAAGTAATTCACAGACAATATCTCACCCACGCTCTCTTTGCCACAGACTACAGCAACATAAATCAAACTGATTTTAAGGAGGAGTTCAAAGGGTTTCGACGAGAGCATGTGTTGATCAAATCTGGGCATATTGGCCTGCAAGGCAACATTTTCACATGGGCTGAAGAAAAAGTAAATAAAGTGATACAAGACACAATAAACTGAAAAGGCAGAAAAAAGGTAACCTTAAAATGAGCTAGTCAGAGGAACATGAACCCATAAATCACCCTGCGTAAGCTCTAGATTTTCTTTACTTGCTGCTCCTCACAGGGACACTGGGCTGGCAAATGGCGATTTTTTTAAAAGCTCAGTCAAAAGCTCAAAAAAAAAGAAGCTATACAAACGTATCAGAGGGACCCCCAAACAGTTTAACAAATTGATGACACAGCTAGTCATCTAATGGAGATGAAAACACACACAAGCATCCGACATATCCTCATTTGAGCATCCACATAAACAATGTAAGAGGGAAAAAAAAAAAAAAAAAAAAAAAGTGACTCACTGTAAACCAACTGAGACACAGTGTCATATCCTGAGAGAGAGTGTGAGAGATGCCCTCCTCTTACTGAAGGACAGATGGATACCCCGATCTGCTGTGTGCCAGTGTGCCAAAGGACAACTGGTCACCAAACAACCTGCAGCTGGGAGCTGACACCTTTTGGCTCCTTGTGACACCAAACCACAATTTCTGAAATATCAGCTAAGTGACAAGGAGGTAAACTGTGCAGGGCGAACCTCGGGTGTTACCATGTAATTATTATCACGATTCTTGAGCGGCCTCTAGCGGCCGAACATGTGAACTGCAGGTTGACATGACGTCACCGCGGAATGTTCCACTTAATTAAAAACAGGGTGAACGGGGTGAATTAGAAGACTATTACGGTGTGTTTTTAGTCCCCTTCTACGCATATTTCATTGCAGAAATATTTATTTGTTCTCAAAAACGTGTTGAGTGTAGCTTGTTCTTAAAGATAATGAAGAAAATGAGCTAACAGCGTAATAATGAAAGTCTCGTTTTCTCCTGTGAGACGAACGCAGAAAGTGCTCAGAGAGAGAGAGGCGCCTTTTTTCTGAGCTCATGTCTTCAGGCAAAAACGAGCCCTCACGTTAAGTAGTCCGACACTTAAAGCCAAAAACAAACATTCATTTTTACAGCAATAGCGAACCACTTCAACAGAAATTCACCAACTTAAGCGGAATCGTACAACATGGCTACTAAAAAGAAGCGAACGCAAAATGTGCAGAATAACAATTGGGTAGTCATTGCTGCAGGTAGGTGAAGCAGTGCGATAGTACGTTCACTTTGAGCTAACGTTAACTAAGATAGCGAGCTTTTTAACGCTACGTAGCAAAGTTATTAGTCCTTAAAACCGTCATCCCTTCAAGTACGTACTTTACTTAAAGGTAGAATTGTTAGTCATCATGCATCATGCTCAACTTTAGCCACGTAGGAAATAAAGGGTATCTTGTAAGTTGGCTAACTGTTAACGTTAGTTACTTTGTTGCAAACTCTTCCAACAGAACCAGCGGTAATCATTACGTCAGTGCTTCATTTAACTTTGCAGATGAGTTGTCAGACTGACGTGCAACCAGACAGTGATCCTCTCCCACAGAGTGAGCAGTGATGCTCCATCATGGATCTGAACTTACTTCTTCTTCTCTGGTGTCCGCAGACTCTTCCATCGACTCACAGAAGCACGACAGTGAACCAGCTTTTGTGAGACTGAGGAATCCCTCCACAGGTCAGTCTTTTGTTATTATTATTTTATTTTGTCAGATGATAATGTCAAATGTGCATTTCAAGTTCCCACAGCCCGAGGTGACGTCTTCAAATAGCTTGTTTTGTCCAACTATTACATAAAAAACCTAAATCTAGATTATGAAAATCAACAAATATTTACATCTGAGGGACTGAAATAATGTAATTTACAAAAGTACTGAAAATATTGAGTGTTCCCTGTGGAATTATTATTTCTTTTACCTCTAGTAGTGCCGTGGAGCTGTTTTATTTATCTCGCAGATGTTTTATGAGGAAGGAAATGCATTTTCATCTGTTAGACCTCACGGATACACAAAATGCGTTTTTGGGGAGTAGCACTGAATGTTTTCAAGAAAATGTATTGCAGATCAATAATAAAAGATGAAAGTATGTGCAGCCCTAACGAGACTGTATTAACATGAATGAAACATGAGGGTGTGTACAGAATAAATAAGTATATATATCATATATAAGACAAGCCTTTGAGTTTCCCCAGCTGTGAACGGCCTTTGAAAATAACACAGTTCCTCTTTCTTTATTGTTTTCATCCTGCAGACGCAACATCTCTGTATATGCTGAGCAGTGGTGACGTACAGCTGTTTGAGGTCAAAGCATTTGAAGAAGATTTCCACTCGTGGTTTGTTGGCCAGACTGTACAGAGAGGTTGGTCTCGTTCCTCATCACAGTGTACTCTCTGAAGCGACCTCATCATAATTACAAACGCTGCTACAAAAGGTGGCTGACGTTACTTTTAGGCCCCACAAGCTGTAAAATAGTCATAACAATTGAAACAAATATTTAACATGTCCAGAGGAATAGTGTCCATGTATTATCACAAGAACCTAACCAGGGTCACATAATGCCACCTGGTGTGCAATCTTAATATGACCCGTCTTTGTGACTGTATGACATGTTGATTGAAAGTTTAAGTTTGTTATAAAGTTATAGTGGTGTTAACTTTGTGCATTTAAATATTTAGAGGTGCTGCACTTTTATTCTGTCATATGAACTGTGGTCTGGGTTCAGGATTTCAACGTTAATCAGGTGTATGTGTCTTTCTTCACAGATGGGAGACTTCTCTTCGTAACACCAATGGATCCTCTCTATCTAATTATGCCCTATTTGATCAAATCTGGCAAAGAGGTAAGAAACTGTAATCTGCATTAATCTCACAGTGTTTAAAACTCCATATCTAACTTACTTTATATAGTAAACTAAGTATCTGTTGGGCCTCCACCATGATAAGGAATTCACCTCAATTAGCTGTAGGAGGGTGAAGAGGTAGTAATTTAAGTTTGATACCAAATGAGCGTATTTACTGTACCAGAGTATTTGACGTCATCACAAATAAAAACTGGAGCGGTGGCCATGGTATCATAATAATAATAGACGCTAGAGCAGCAACATCGTGCCTCTAAAATAGCTTTAACAGTGTATGAATGACATCACAATCACATTTAGACCTCTCATATGGAAGACGAATATCTGTTTTTATCTTTTTTTTAATGTCACCTGCGGCTCAGGGGAAGTTCCAGCCTGTGGATCAAGTTGTTGTGGATGAGGAATTCCCAGCCTGCTCAAGGCTGCTGCGCTGCACACGTTCCCTGGCCTCGCTGCACCACATTGCCGAGGAAAAAGGTGAAGTTTATTTCAGAAGCTAATGTCGCTTGACTGTTACCGCCGATTTGCATTGTGTTTGAATGCTGCGTTTCATTCTTCCAGAGGTGGGAAAACAGAGGTTCCACCAATACAGTCACGAGAAGACGATGAATTGGTTGAAGAAAAAGGTATTCCGAAGAGCTCGTCGCCGCTATTTTACATGAAATTAAAACAGTTGGTTTTACACGGTGGAATTGAGTAATTCGGTTTGACTTGTTTGTGTAGGTGGAGAGGACAGTCGGTTTGCTCAAGGGGAGAAATATCTCTGTGGGAGAAAGAGTCAAATCCACAACATACATCAGAGTGAAGTCAGAGTCGGACTACCACGACGGTACGCCGCCTCACCTACAGGCCGCTTCACCTCTTAAGTTATTACTATTATATTCCAGTCTCACCCTCCTGTGATGATGATGACCAATAGATGCCAGTAATATTACACCGTTGACATCTATGGGTTATAATCCTAAAATAACATTTTCTCATATACCAAACTTAAAGTATGATTTTATTGCTATTTACTGGCCATGCTTTGTGATTCAGAGGACTACCTACGCTATGCTCACGGCCTGATATCAGAGTACCTCAGCGAAGACCTGAGCAAAGCCCTCCTCAAACACTTGCAGTAAGTCCAGACTTCGAACACTTGTAAGTTATGATAATTATTAGCGCTCAGGTGATCGAGCATGCCTCTTCTTATTTCACCCCCACAGGTTACCAGAGCTCACGAGCCCAAAGGAGACAGAACCTCCTTCCAAGGTATGTTCCCGTTTCTCTCAGACGTGTGAAGTCAGTGTAGCATATTCTCTTCTCTTTCTGCATGCCGTCACAACCACCGTGCATGTTTTCTGTAGTCCTCCACCTCACTAACATTGATGCATTGTGCTTGGGTGTAATGTCATCCCAGCTTGTAGTGGTGTGTGTTTCTGTGGTAAAAAAACAACCGTTGGTCCTCTTTGTCATGAAAAGCTTGTCTTACTTCCTCGTTTGGCAGAAGCGGAAACTTTCAGACAAGCCAGTGGAGGCCGAAGAGGACTATACCAAATTCAACAGTGCAGACTTTGCACGGAAAGTGAGTGTGTATATATATATATGGAGCAGTCTGCCTGAATAGACCAAACTATTATTTGCTCCGAGCAGCATTTGCTTTGGTGATATCATAATGACTGACAGTTGTTTTTTTGCTTTCATCTCTGGAGTGATTGTCAGTGTAGCTCTTGTTTGTTGAATGCTTTCTGTGAGCCTCGTGTGTAGCATACACATATGGGTCAGAGGAGATTACCTTGTGGAACAATGTATTTTCTCGGCTAGAAATGACGTGCTTGATTTAGAATGAAAGGTGTGGAGTTATATTGATTTTTTATTTTTTTTTCCCTTCTCCTTTATTCCAGCCGCCCAAGAAGATGACTGCGGCTCAGAAATCTCTGGCCAAGGCGGACAAGACCGGCATGAAGACTATGTTCTCCTTCTTCAGTCCCAAAGCCAAAGCAGAGAAGAAATGAATGTTGTGTAGTTTCTGGTTTTGTATATGAAACATTTGTAATAAAGACAAGAAAATGTATTTGACGAATGTTTTTCATTTTATATTGTGGTTTGAATGAGATTAATACAATAATAAGGAAAAGGAATTTTGGCATTTTTATTTTTAACCAAATGTTTGTATGTTGCTAAGTATTAGCACTCTAAGATATGGCTTTAAGGCCACCTTACCAGTGGTGGACGAGAAGTGAATTGGAGTATTAGTATTTATCTTTATACTTCTACTCCACTACATTTCAAAGGGAAAATCTTTTTCTATGTTTCACACACATTTATTTGACAACTATGTTACTAGTTACTTTTGAGAATACGATTTTACTTAAAAACAAAAACAAAGACATGATACACTTACATGATGCAGTAATATACTATTAATTTACAGAATAGTATATCAAATATCTCAACTTGGTTCCACGTTGACCAACTGCAAGTTTCAAATGCTCTTGCATCTATTCGTTAGTGATTAAAACAGAATAATATATTAATATAACATTCTGAAAGGAGCCATTCTGAATAATAAGTACTTTTACTTTTTATGCTTTTAAGCACATTCTCTTATAACACTTAAGTACTTATTATTAAAGTATTTTGTAAGAGTATAGTGCTGAATACTTCTTCCACCACTGCAGGTCTGATCCATAAACGACTAAACCTATATTCCATACACTATGTTATTACATATATAAAGGTTGTGGTAATCTTGAGACGTCGCAAGGATTGTTTTTTTTTAGACCATGCTGTAAAAATCATCAATTTAATATTCTGTTATTTAAAGTGACATCCAATTGATGTATAATAGCAGGATATTGATGTTTATATTGATCAACGTTTTAGAAAACCCGACTCTTGAATAGAACGGAGACATCCTTCATGTTATTACTAACAGCTGTGGTTATCCAACTAAGTCAAAATATCTAATGTGAAAAACGAAGAATTAACTTGACGTCATCAGCTGGACATTTGTTTTTACATTTTTTTACATTTGCTTTATTAAAATTCCTTTTAAATATTTGATGTCAGTATTAATTGTCTGGATGGAGTTTTAGCAGATCATACAAACTAAGTGTAGCTCTACGTCAACAGAGTGGCAGCGCTGGTGGTTTCAAATGTCTATCAAGCGTCACTGCTTTTTTAATTTGGGCTTGAAGCGCAGAGTCTGGAATGCACTCTCCACCACTTTGGGCAGATGGATCGGGTTCCTCTGCAGCCGCAGTCTGCTGCTCGTGGACCCGCTCTGGTTCTTCTTCTTCGGGGCGCGTTCCTTGGCACAGGCATGAACTGCTTTCTGCTTGGAATCATCTGCGACCCGAGGAACCCGCATTACCCAGTTGGAGTGGAGGTCGTGCTCGGCCGAGCTGGAAGCCACTGTGAGAGGGGGAGAGCACAGAGGAAGAACCTGAGACCAGTAGCTTTCAATCCTGGACCTTAAGACCCAGAATGATTTGAACTAAGCAGCGAATGAGATTAAGTAGACCTTGGGCAGTTAATAAATGAGTATCTTACAAATGACGTCCCAATTCTTAACCAAACTTGACCTTCACCAATCAAACAAGTGGTGGAAGAAGAATAAAGCAACATGAATTTTGACATATAGCAGGAAAAGCTTAGGTCTGATAAATAGCACTAATAATGGCTGCATTCAGTTCAGGTGTATCCGTTCAGCTCTGTGGTCACCGCTGACTGGAAAAACGAAGGCTTCATGAGCATTATTAGTTACACCTGTGCTGCCTGCTAATAATCAAAAGTAAAAGCATAACAATGTAAGAATATTCCATAACACGGTATGCATGTAATTGCACTACTTAAGCATCACAAGTATGACTTAACCTGTCAGGAGCATTTTAATGTAGCTGGTCCAGGTGGTTACATCTTACACTATACTGTTACAAACAACAACTACTACTAGTACTGCTCTTCAGCCTAATATGTAGCAATATATATAATATCACCTGAATTTGTATGAATGTGAAAACTGCAATCTAGAAATTAACTAGTAAAAACAACTGACAAAAAAGTCAAATGAGAGTCAAATGCACAACATTAAAATGATGCAGGTTTTTGAAATGAAGAAGTTAATATGCCACAAAGTACATCAGTGAATAGGTAAATAGATTAAAACACCTGTGTGGGTGTACCACGATGTGTGTCGGGGCCTTAAGCTCAGTACTTGAGTGAATATCCATCTCTGACCTCAGCCATCTTAATATCCTTAAAGGGACAGTTCACCCCAAAATAAAAAATACATCTTTCTTCTCTTACCTGTCGAGCTTTTAATCCATCTAGATTGTTTTGGTGCGAGTTCCCTAGTTTTGGAGATGTCTGCCTTCTCTTCAATATTATTGGACTATGTGGCACTCGGCTTGTGGTGCTCAGCAATGTCTCTTTCCAGAAATCATGACCCGGTTTCTTAAGACAATCCACAGACCTTGTTGTGAGGAAGCGTGCATCTATGCTTGATACAGTTACCTAACACCAGTGAACATTACAGCTCAGCCGAGGAGGACACAATAAATGTTTACACCTCATGCCGTCACGAGCATGAGCCTCTCGTCCATGAGATTATGTCATACGAGCAGCCTCTGTAACTGTTATATATATATTATATAATTGGTAATTATTATTTATGTAGATACACTAACGCAGCTGTCACCATGGTAATAATGTAACTACTTTACATTCCGTTAGGTTGTTGTATGCAAAGCATTACATCATATCATCTTATATTTTGTATATAAAATCTTACAGTACTTAAGTTAACCTACTTAGTTGAGTTCCACCATTGTCTTACCCTACGTCATATCTACATTAAGTAGTTTAAGGCTTGCAGGTCCTAAATGCCAGCATCATTTCAGTTAAAGAGAGGGATTTTAAACCCACCTATGAAGTCCACGTCTGCATGTCCATCATCCACGTACGGTTTGCGCAGAGGTTCGCTGTCGCAGCCTGCGATGACGGCATCAAAGAACTGCAAAGTGTCCTCCTCGCTGGGGACTGGAGGTGCAGAGGGTTTGGCTCTTGATATCTGCGGTTCGAAAAAAAACATTTGTCTTTGATATTGCCTGCCATGTGCTCGGGGATAGATGATTCAAGCTTACCGGTTCTTCCTTTGTAGGCGGCGGGGGTGCAGGCTTCTTCTTGGAGGATACTGTGGTCTTGGCATGGTTGCTTTTCAAGTCGCTCACACTCTTTGTGTATTGTCGTCTCAAAGCCACGAGTGCTTCAAGGTACTCCAGGCAGTTCTGATTCTGAGAGTAGAGCCATATCCTGTCCTCTTGTCTCTGATAATAGTACAAGGTCGACTCGATGCTCACCGTACTTTTGCTCCGTTTTAAAGTTGAGCCCACGGCTGCATGACTTTTCTCTCCCACCACGAGCATGGAGGTGCTGCGGACCAGCCTGACGGTGCAGGCATTGTGGTAGTCCTGCTCGGACCGAAACCCACCACCACCACCACCACCATCCTGCCCTCTGTGTCCGGGATGGTTGGGACGGAACACATTATTAATCTTCTTCAACATTCCTCTAAATGGAGTCTTTCAGGCTTACAGACTTAACTTCCATAGAGTTTGTGAAGCATCCATCCATATCCGTCCCTTGAAGCAGACCAATGTGTCTCAAAACAAACAAACTGAAAACGCCTTTAAACCCGACAGAAGCTGCTCACTGTGACCGGTCGCTGTCCAGGGTGCTGAAATTGCGAAACGGCTGCCCCTCCTCACACAAAAGCAAAAACAGGTCCGGGTCTCTCGTCTATCCTGATCTCAGCGTGTCTCCACTGTTGTCGGATGTTGCTCGGCAACATTGCTGTGGCAACGGGTCGGTAACTCGACACATTGCGCTACCAATACTACTGAGCAGCAGGCCTGTGTCAGATATCCCGACTCATACAAGAGTTAGTGGACACAATAACAACAGCCAGCAATCCAATGGACTCTGGGCCTGTAGTGTCCTTGCTTGTGAATGTGAATCCACCTCTTAATAAACCATGTGTCGACCAAACAAGAGATCTTAGAAAAGAACATACACGATAGGTTGAACAGTAGGTGGGTTAAAGTGTTCACATTTCTGGGGTTTATATGAAGAGGCTCTAAAGATCAAAATAAATAATTCTACAATGAATGACCAGGATATTGTAACAAAGTCGAAGTTATATGATGTTGACTTATGTCTAGGTGTCCTCGCCTGATGAATAATAAAACATGGTCTCTCGTGTTTCATGTGCTTCTATTGTTGGGCTTACCTGCTGCAAGCAGAGGAAGTCTGAATACAAGAGTCTTAACTGGAGCGAGTCATATATGCAGACAAAGACAAGGTACTTTCATCTTGGAAAAATCTGCGGCCTTGAATACAGCCTGAAAGTTTCCACCACTTTCACCAGAAATAAGATTCATACAAAAACGTTTCTACCACAGAGGTGCGCAAATAAAAAAAAAAAAAAAACTATTTCACAACTGGTGAAATTAAGTATCATTCCAAGGTCTCAAGCTAATTTACAGCATTTACTTAATCTGGGCGTAGAATACTAAAAGGAGGGATTATTTGATTAGCCGAGTGGTAAAAGCACATTGCTATAAAACCACAATGTCCCAGGTTCAATTTCAGCCATTGGACCATTATTGGATGTCACACAGAGCTCTCTTTCTCCACCCCTCCACCACATTCCTACACGGTCAAAAAAATGCAAAAATGACCAAAAGAAATATAAAAAAATAAAACATGCTGAAGATGCACGGTTTCAAGGAGGAACTGATGAGTTGTGGGTTACATAACCGAGCGTGAGGTCACACTTCTGCTTTTGGCGGCGGATGGGTAAAGCTAGGAGCTCCGAACAGCAGTTATTTGACTGAAAACATGCACGTCCTCACTGAGAGGAAACTCAGAATTTGTGGTGGAACTTATCAGAAAACGAAAACAGGAATCAGTTAATTGTGATCATATTAATTACAACTTTCTTTTCTGCTTTTCCCTTTACACACCTGTTACTCTTACAAAGAAACAAAACTGTGGTTTCATTTTATGTTGCATTCATAACAATAGCACATCTGTCATTTCACTTCATTTGGGCAAGAGGAAATACTAATGCAGAGGTGGATGCGTCCTCGTGTGAGGATGTAAAATAGATATCATTTACAAAAGTAGGAACTAGATGCGGGATATGCTCAGCCTATCTGTAACAATCCTTTGAAAATGGTGAGTTGGAATGTATTCATGAGTAATCCAGCTGCAACATTCGGTTTGCAGAAATGGTAAAACAGAAAATATTTCACATTCCCACTTCCTCTTGGGGTGGTATAAAACAACCCTCACACAAAACTGCACTCTTGTTCATGCAGATCTTGGATGGAATACAGTCTGCAGGTGGGTGTTTGTAGGCTGTCTCGATAGAAAACGATATTTTTTTAAGAAGTGCTTATGTGGTAAAGACTGTGGAGGACAGAGACTGTGATTCTGGTCCAACGTAGGTAAGATGTTTGTTTCAGAGGAATAGGATTCATCTTTTGATTATTATATGAGATAAATTGTTCTTTCATGAAATCCTCTTTTTGGACAGATGTCTTTTTCTGTTTGGGGATCAATGTGTTAACCCCCTGACCCACAGAACTCTGGATGAATCAGGAATCCGATCCATCCGAAGTTGAAACAGCTTTTTCAAGAGGTATCATTCATGTACTCATGAATGATCCGGTGTTTGTCATAGAGTTTTGTTGTCATTTTATTGCGTTGTTGTGTTTTGTGCTGTTTAATGTGTATTGTTTGTTGAGTTTTGTGTGTTTGTATTTGCAAACTAGCTGTCTAGAGTCTATAACTGTTGTGTGGCACAGTATACGGCATTAGTCCAATGCCGATACGAGAATAAACACTGAATGAATAGATACATCTATGTTGACACTTGCATCTTATCACAAGTTGAAAACATGTGGTGTGCTGACATAACTCGGCTAACAGCTTCTGCAAATGTGCTCTTTGTTGCAGCCATGCTTTGTGAAGGCAGATTGTTGAGTATGACCTATGGTGAATTGGAGGAGCTGGATTCACCCCTTCCTCAGAAAGCTCCCCAGAGGGCTTTTGGGCTGCCGAGAGCCGCTGCTACCCTGGTGCCAGGCTCCGTCAGACACACTCCACTCGTTCACCACAACTCCCCCGAGCTGACAGGTTGCATGGACAACAGGAGCGATTCAGAGTTGCTCATTTCTCCGCTGCGGTCCTTGGACAGCAGACAGATCTCTCCGCAGATAGAGATCCCAGCTCCGGCTCGCTCATTTGGCGATGCCCCTTTCCTGGTCCCCTCCTTCTGTCAGAGCATCTGCCAAAACTACAGCGACCTCCACATTGGAGGCGACCAGGTGCTGCCGCTCTCGACTAATGATGGAGAGCTCCGGCTCTGTACTGACGCCCAGGCTGTCGGCCCTTTCCTCCAGTCCTGTGATGTCCCCCCGGCTGTGGAGGATTCTCCCCCAGGAAAGACATCTCAGGGTGGACTTCTGCATCCACCGAGGGGGGGTTCAAACCGCTGGAGACCGGGGAGTGTCCGTGATCGGAGCTTTTTGTTCCAGGGCCGCGAAGGTCCGTTCTCCAACTCTCTTCTCAATCACTACCTGGAGCAGAAACTGTTGGATTTGTACCAGCAATACATGATGGAGAACATGGCCAGGGAAGGGGCCCCTGGTACGGATTCGGCCCCTGGCCCCATTCGCCCTCTGCTGGGCTCAGAGCTGGTCCTGACCAGCCTAGACCAGATCACTTTGCAGCTGAGCCGGGAAGGGAACCTGGAGGCCGGCCTGGCCAAGGACATGGTCCTCAGCTGCCTTCTGCGGGTGGCTGGCGACATGCAGTCAAGTGTGATCAGCACTCCCTTTCTGCAGATTTCAAATGAGGCATCCAGGGAGCAACTCACAGAGAATAAAGAAGAGTAACCCCAGTATCAAGGCACCCGCCGAATCAATTCTCCCTTTCATTTGAGTTTTATCACCATGAAAATAAAATCAAACCGATTACTGTATTAATTTATTTTATTTTCATGAGCTGTGGAGAGGATGGTGTATGATTATATGATCATATCAAATGGTGTACGTTCATGTGGTGAGCTATTGTTGTGCAGTTTTCCCTCTCTATAAGGACAATAAAAACAGGAACTGAAAATTTAAACTGATCTTTCCTTTCCCCCCCGCCTTGCAACACGTCAACAACATTGTCCTACTTATTGTACTGCTGGCCACTTCTCTGAGTAATGATTAACACTTTGTACATCTCTTTATTGTTTCTTCATCTGACAAAAATGTCCCTCTCTGGTGAAGTGCAGAAGAACATGATGGTCCATCATTTAGGACACAGATTCAAAATAATATGTAACAGTTTGATCCATTATTGTTTATTTCAGTGGAAGAAACTCATGCTTTCTTCATCGGTGCTCCGATCCGTAGCAAGCAACAGAGCGCAAGCTGTACCCAGAATGCCGTTCAGCGGTGCAACACTTAATAGAAGTACCTTCTAAATACATTACACAGTGTGTACATAACGCGTCTAATAAATATGTTCTGTAGATCTGAAAAGTTCACACTTAAATACGCGAATAAGCCAAGTGCGAAGTCGATCAGATGAACTGTTCAGAGGGACAGACAAAGACTCTTTCCATTTTAGTTAGATGAACTCTATGTTGATTATCGACACGTCTGTTGAAGGACAATACAAAGCCTGATGCAATCAGTTGATATTGTGCACCTCAACAGATAGAACAGTACAGAATGCCACAACTAAATCAGTTGCTTATAAATATATATTGTTGTGATCAAAGATATACTCCACACAAATAAACTGGTCGTTTATGTCTGATCCCATTCTCTGCTGCAAATGATGACGATATCATTAATGAGTTGATGCAAAGTCTGCAGTTAAATAAACGGTCACAAGGGGGAAGCATTATCACCTAACTTCTTTACCCAAATGACTTTGACACACACCTCCTACTTGTCTAATTTCTTTCATGCGTCCCCCCTTCACTGTCTATCCCCCTCCCTCACCTCAACATCCATCCATCCAGCTCATGTTTCCTATCATCCGCACCCTGCTAATCTATGATGTCACCAGCACTGGGTTGTAAATCTGTAGCATGCAGGCAGTTGGGGCACTAACACCAAATTCAACACAGTGTCTGATGCCGGTTCCTCTACAGTGTAAACAAAACACAAGCTTGAGATACGGTTATCTACACCGCATGATTTATTTTGGGAAAATATTGCACGAGCGCAAATGAGGAACTCAGCGGGGCTGAAAACTGATGGATTTGCACGCCAACGGTGACATGTTATTTTTCATGTTTCCTCTTATTCAAAGTGCTTTGAAAGACCTGCGACTCCATTCCAGCTCAGTGCAGCTGTGGCCTTCTGAGCCAGTGTTTGATCAGCTTCCTTGTTTCCTGTCCAAACAGAGAGCCACAAGAGGAAACTGTGTTTACCGAGCAGAGCGCCGCAGTCGCAGCCCTGTGAAGTCTCAAGGCCGCAGAAACACATGTTTGGTATTTCTGCTTCTATGCGCATTGAACAGTCCAGGTACATGTTAAAAGCAATCGAATCCTTACAGACCTAAACAAACACACGCTAACATATAAGTATGACTCACCCGATGCCAAGCCCATGCAGTGTGAGCATATTCGAACACACTGATTTCCCCAGACCCTGGAAAAACAGAAATCAGACGTCTTGTTGCAGCAGAGGTTAGGAATTGTTTACAGGACTGAAGGTAAAGCTGCACACTGCAGTCTCTCTCTCTCTCACACACACACACACACACACACACACACGCACACACAACACACAAGTTGTCAATATTTATTCACAAATTCTCGACTTAACCAAATGACACAAATTATTTACCTCTCCTTGTCAAAAGCTGAACAAATAACTCACTGGGTTTTACGTATTCGGGTGCAAATACAACACAAATATGAGGTTTTGATAATTTTCTGTAATTAGTAGTATTTTTTTCTCTTGAAGAAAAAGTAAAAGCAGGTCAATGAATGAAGGAGAAGCCAGGAAATGAGAGCAGAGACAGAGATCCATAAAACAAACAATAAGCTACAGTGTTCAAAAAAAGTTGAAGAAAAATAACCCACACTTCTCTCATGGTCTAGCGATGAAACCAACAGGGAGCGTCTTTCAGAGGTTTATAAAGTAATTTCCTTGTCACAAAGAGCTTTTAACATGGAGGGCGGTAAAGGCAAGGCCGCAAGATTTCATATCAAAGCCAAGGTCCTAGATACACTCACTATTGTGGCTCTAATGCTCTGCAGCACCCTGTGGCTTGCCTTTATTGAAAAAGCTTTTAGTATGTAGCCTTGTTAATTGTCATATACTGTTTGCTTATTTTTTCCCCCTGCTTTGTGACTGTGTGATTTAAAAACTTCTATCACAATTTTTTCAAGGCCTATTGATAGCCAAGATCCTTTGAGCTCTTTACAGGATTAGACATGTACACACACACACACACACACACACACACACACACACACACACACACACACACACACACACACACACACTTCCATTTCTTGTTTAAATTCGAACTCAGGAATTAGTTTGCAGATAAAGATTTTAATATATTGCTGTGGTAAATGCTCACTCGCACACATAACACACAGGTGGAAGCATTTCAGACTATGGTTGGTGTGTCAAGGCGCTTAATTCAATTAAGGCCAGAAGCTGATCTCTTTCTCCTAATTTGTTGGACGGCCTTGGACAAATGTGTTTTTTCTTCTTCTTATCCAAGTTACATCTACTGGAGTGACCTAATGTCCAATGGAATGACAGCTCCTGCTCTGTATCTGGCTGATTGACACTGGGACACGTAGGTGGTGGAACGGGAGAACACACATTTTCCGGTCAGTTAGCCGCTCAAGGTTGCAGGGAGCCTGCGGCGGCGCGGCTAACCTTGGCTAAGCCGGAGCAGACAGAGAAGGACCTTGAGAGACAGCGGGGTAGCAGGATCTGGTCGCTCAAAGAGCTGGGGAACATAACGTGGTAATGCGTGACTATATATCACAGCACACAGTGCCCGTGTGACTGTAGATTGCAACTGGACGGGAAAATAATGTTGTTTATCCACTTACATGTAGTTCAATTCACAACACGGTGTTGAATTGTGGACTTTGTTGACCATATTTGCCTCTGCAAAGAGGGTAACAATTTCCCAAAACGAATACTTTGCTCTCGTTGTCTTCTTGTATATATTGTCAAACTTATTACGGTTTTGATTATTATCGGCCCTGACCCAATTTCCTGACGTTTGTGACATACTTGTTCTCTTCTCTCTTATTATCATCTCTTGTTTTATCCGTCTTTGTGTCCTTTAGATACTGCGAATCATTTTGCAACAAATGTCTTTGTTACAAGAGCTTTATGGAAGAATTTGACTGAGTAATTCTTCCAACAAGCGTGGACTTTTTGTGGAGCATAATGTTGTTAATGTTGACAGAAAGTTGTTGGGGTTCTTATTTACAGATCCAATATAGAAGCAGTCCTGATCTTCAGAGATGGGAATTAAATGGGCAATATTGTGCTTGTGGTGAGTTAAGTTAGTGGTAAGCAACAGCCTTATTTGTGAGACATTTTTTAATCATGCACAAATCTATGTGGACAACCCTCTCTCTCTCTAAGGCACTCGACATCCTCGCCTCAGGTCAGAGATACAGTTTTCTGAAAATCAATTGCAACATGTACAAGTTTTCCTTCATCCAGCCTTCAATAAATTATCTCTCCATAAATTGTTCATTTTTTCGTGCTGTCTTGCTGCAAAACGAAATAACAACTCGTGAGGGTGATGAAGATCTGAGCTGAAGATCACATTGCCTTAAAGTTTAGGCGTTTAAACCAGTAGTCAGGAGAAGTTAGTGATTGGAATTCAAAGGTTTTAGTGAAAGTAAAGGGTAACTGACGAAAAGCAAAGGCAAAATATCTACACTTGAGTACTCAAATTTACCTGCCAAGGGACAAAAATGAGCACTGAGCCCCTAATGGCCCCCCATTTCTTTCACCATTTATGCATTGTGTATGCCGCAGTTAGTAGCTCGATTAAGTATACATTTATTTAGCAATAAGCACAATATAAACTAATAGGAAGGTCAACAAGCTCAACCGGCCCTTAGTGGAGGCCTTGGCCTTGGCAAAATCAAACATGTTTAGAAAGACACAGTGAAAAGAGAGGAAAATTATACAGGTACAAGTATATTGTGAAGAGGAGGCAGAATGATGTGCCAAAGCAATTCATCTAGTTAAGCAAGGCCAATGGATGAACTTGAATGGGTAGAAAGAAAGACGCCTGATTGGAAAAAAAACTTCTTGCAATAAATGAGTGAAGGATGAGATTCATACGGGTGCAATATCACATGCTTTAAAACCTCAGTTAATTGTCATAGGTGAGCACTTTGTTCGACAAACAGTGCTCACAACAGATCTGGTCATGAAGATTCCATACACACACACACACGCACGCACACACACACACATACCTCTTGTCAGGGTTACCGTATTTTCCGCACTATAAGGCGCACTTAAAAGCCTTTAATTTTCTCAAAAAACGACAGTGCGCCTTGTAATCCGGAGCGCCTTATACATGGATCAATTGGTTAATTTGTTGATCTATACTGGTTGTACACGGCGCTCTGTCAAAATGTTTCAGTACGACTGGTAAACTACAAAGCCGCACCGCTTGCAGCATTACGGCTACCGTAGTCAGGGGCGTCGCCGAAGTAATAGCGGTAAACACCGGTACTGTGCTTACTCCTAGTCCAACACCACTAGTGTGTATAAAGACCCCAAAATGGCACCTTTCAAGAGACACGCTTACGACGCTGAGTTCAAACTCAAGGCTGTCAGCTACGCAGCCGAACATGGGAATAGAGCAGTGGATGACAGAAGGCGAACACACGTTCACCAAGACGGGGAGACAGCGCCGAGCGACTTATGCCACTATTTGCCAATGGATCGTGGATGCCTGGGCTGATATATCAGTCTCAACTGTGGTCCGAGCTTTCACGAAGGCAGGAATAATCACTGAACTGCCAGGCAATAGCAGCGACACTGACTCGGATAATGACGAGAGGGAGCCGGGCATGTTGGATGCCGTACTCGCCCAACTGTTCAATTCGGACACTGAAGAAGAAAAATTCGAGGGATTCGTGGACGGGGAATGAACTGAAAAAGTGAGCTTTACGTGTTATATACGTACCATAACTGAACAATGTTGAGTTATGCACTAACTTTTGATTTGGCGGTATCAGATTGTGTTTCTTTTACGTGTTTACAACTGAACAAGGCTGGGAGATATTGTGAATATGCACATTAACGTTTGAACAACGTTGAGTTATTGCGAATGCACTAACTACGTTTTATACGTAAGTTGAACAATTTCGAGAGTTACTATATTGTGAATGCACTAACGTTTGATTTAGTGGTATCAGACTGTTTCTTTTACGTGTTTACTGAATCAGGCAAAAGTTCCCCTCTTCGTTTAAGTTACCGTATTGTGAATGAAATCAAAAATCAATAAAGTTTGACTGAATGATTTATCTGACTGTTTTGTTGACATTCCCTTTAGCACAGCTCCATCTAGTGGATGCATAACGCAACCCCTGTCAAACGTTTGACTGTAGTAGCTTCTATTCTATGCGCCTTATAATCCGGTGCGCCCTATATATAAAAACAGTTCTAAAATAGGCCATTCATTGAAGGTGCGCCTTATAATCCAGTGCGCCTTATAGTGCGGAAAATACGTAACCTGAATCTGACCTGTTACTGTGGCCCAGTACTCTACTGTTTTGTATGTCACCATTCAAAGTAAAGACAGAGCATGACAGGTCAAATATCTGAAAATAAAAAAAAGTATATTGGAATTTACCTGGCAAGGCTTGCAATATCATAAGATAACTGGAATATCCATCTTTGCCAGGCGTAATGTGTTTGTGTCCGGACCACCACTGCACGGACCAATCAGCGTCTGGTGAGGAGCTACTGGGCATGGCTTAGGTGTGTGTGACACAGAGAGGTGATATATATACAGTTGTGTGAAAAGTGTTTGCCCCCTTCCTGATTTCTTATTTTTTTGCATGTTTGTCACACTTAAATGTTTCAGATCATCAAACAAATTTAAATATTAGACAAAGATAACACAAGTAAACACAAAATGCAGTTTTTAAATGAAGGTTTTTATTATTAAGGGGAAAAAAAATCCAAACCTACATGGCCCTGTGTGAAAAAGTGATTGCCCCCTAAACCTAATAACTGGTTGGGCCACCCTTAGCAGCAACAACTGCAATCAAGCGTTTGCGATAACTGGCAATGAGTCTTTTACAGCGCTGTAGAGGAATTTTGGCCCACTCATCTTTGCAGAATTGTTGTAATTCAGCCACATTGGAGGGTTTTCGAGCATGAACCGCCTTTTTAAGGTCATGCCACAGCATCTCAAATCGGATTCAGGTCGGGACTTTGACTAGGCCACTCCAAAGTCTTCATTTTGTTTTTCTTAAGCCATTCAGAGGTGGACTTGCTGGTGTGTTTTGGATCATTGTCCTGCTGCAGAACCCAAGTGCGCTTCAGCTTGAGGTCACGAACAGATGGCCGGACATTCTCCTTCAGGATTTTTTGGTAGACAGCACAATTCATGGTTCCATTTACCACAGCAA